GGCTGGGCAGGCGCGGGAAAGGGCTTTTGGAGAGGGGGGGTCCCCAGCCATGCTGCTGCACTGGCAGAGGCTTTGGCACTGCCAAGAGCAGAGGTGTGTGGCTGCAGCCCTGGCTTCCAGACATGCGGCTGCCCAGCAGCTGGGCTCAGCCCCCCGGCCGTGCTAATCCTCTGCCCCCCACCAGCAGCTCCCACTCCCTGCACAGCCCGCTGAACGCGGATCCTCCATGCACATGGGCACAGCAACACAGCCACCGTGCCCTCTGCCCCTGGCCTTTGCAAAGACGTGCTCTCCCGCTGCACCACGCTCCCTGGCAAGGGGCTCAGCTGCCGGCGTAGGAGGGAAGGAGGTGGCTGCTGGGCAGCCCCCGGGGGCAGGGAGGCACAGGCAGGGAGGTCAGGAAGAACAGCCTGTACCAGCCACCCACTAAGTAGATTCCTGGGGTAATGAGAGGAAATCAAGAGGGCTCCCTGAGCTCCAGATAGCAGCAGTTCTGCTTGAACTCAATCATTTAGAAAAACGTTGCTTGAGGCTGGGAAATAACCAGGAGGCACTAGCAATTCCCAGCGCTGTCGCAGCCTCAATTCGGCAGCGGAAAGGCTCCCTGCTGCCCCGGGAGCTGCCTGCGCAGGCAGGGTGCAGCCCCGCTCCCACCGCACAGTGCAGGGAGCCCCTTTTCCTGGGGCAGGGCAGGCTGTGAGCCCTTTTGTGCTGGCCCAGCTGGGGACAGAGCCACCACAGGGAAACGTCCCAGGAGCAGTGGGACGGGCTGTTTCCCACGCCACAGAGCATCCTCCCCGGCGGGGCCCAGCCAGCTTTTTAGCCAGCCGCTGGCTGCGCTGGGGAAATGCTCACGTCACCCTCGCCCAAGGTGGTACCTGTGGTGGCAATGCAGTCAAAGCCCACAAAGGCGTAGAAACAGGTGGCAGCGCCAGTCAGGATCCCTTCCAGTCCAAAGGGGACAAAGCCACCAGAGCCGAAGGCTTTTTTCCTGGAAAGGAGGGAGGAGAGCAGCTGTTGTAGGGTGCATGGGCAGCAGGGCCAGTGTCAGCCCTGTGCCGAACCCTGGCCTGACACAGTTGCTCTCCTCACCTGACGTCATCCTGTGGGTCCAGGTATGAGTGGTTGATGTAGTCCTCCTCCGAGAGTTGCCAATTCTTGATGTCTCCCTTCACAAAGCCAGCAATGATGACAAAGCCCAGCACCACCAGGTTCACTGCCGTGAAGATTTTATTCACGAGGGCGGATTCACTAACGCCAAAGGCCAGCAGCGCTGTGGGGATGGAAGGGGTGAGTGGGGATCCACCGGGCTCCGATGCCACCACCCGTGGTGCCACGGAGCCGTTCTTACACACTCACCAGTGAGCAGCCCAATGAGGATCAGGGCAAAGAAGTCTGGGCGCTCAGCCAGCACCCCTGGCAGGTGCACTGTGGTCTTGTTCATGAAGAAGGTGGAGATGTGGTTGCCGATGATGTTGTCGAACGCCGCACTCCAGGCTCGAGCCACGCTGGCCGTG